AAATGTCAAATGAGTTTTTGCAGATTGCCATTAGATCCAATTCAGCAGAAAAACACGGGTTGTGCTGGGACAAAATAATAATGATGATGATGATGATGTTCTGACACAAGGAACCCTGGATGAGCTCTTTGGTTGCAAGTCCCATTGTTTCTTCTTTCTAGGCTAAATAGAAGGAAGCTCTCTATAACTTAGGGGAAAGACCCTCTGCATCGCCCAGCTATGAGTCGTGAAGGCCACTCCCTGCAAGGCCCTTTCCACCTGGCCTAGGGGGTGAGGCCCACACTCACCCAACTCTACTAAAGAGACTCCTGGTGAGACCGAAGGGACATCGCTCTGCCTGCCAACAAACCCTAACTATTGGAGTCTTTTGCCCCATCTTTTTGTGCCTGCCAAACAGCCGTGTCATGCTTATGACAGTATTTTATTCTCTTGTTAATTATGCTGTTTTAAATGTGCATTTTATATTCCATTTCACTTAGCAATGTTTTTTTTAAAAAAAATGTTTAAGTTTTTTTTGGTTAACTTTGTTTGTGCTAAATATGTATTCCGCAGTTGACCTCCTTTGCAATGTTTTATTTTGAAATCTTCAAGATAATATTTTAGTTTTCTGTTAGTTATATTGCTTCGTCTGTATACTCGATATTTGACTTTCTTCAGATTGTTTTACAGTAGTACCTCGGGTTACAGACGCTTCAGGTTACAGACTCCACTAACCCAGAAATAGCACCTCAAGTTAAGAACTTTGCTTCAGGATGAGAACAGAAATCACGCGGCAGCGGTGCAGTGGTAGTGGGAGGCCCCATTAGCTAAAGTGGTGCTTCAGGTTAAGAACAGTTTCAGGTTAAGAACGGACCTCCGGAATGAATTAAGTACTTAACCAGAGGTACCACTGTATTGATGTTTTAATATGCTGTAAACCGCTTTGAGGTTTTTCTTTGAAATATAATGCGATATAGAAATGAAATGAAATGAAATGAAACAAATAATAAAGATGATGATGATGATGATGATAATAGATGGGTCTTTGGTCTGAGCCAGTGGGCTCTTCTTACCTCTAACACAATATACTTTCTACTGATCCTATATAAATAGTCACTGTGGGAAATGCTGCTCAGGGCTCTCTTCTTACCTCTGAACCCTTCTCAGTCACAACCTTATACTAACACTATCACATAACGGCACAGATTGAAATCCAAGGCCTGCAGACAAGAGTATTAGACTAGGACAAAGGAGAGCTCTGAAGCTCACTGGGTGACATTGGGTCAAAATCTCTTTTTCGGGGGCTGTTGTGAGGCTAACATGGGACAGTATACGGTATTTCCCATTAAGCTTCCTAGAGGAATCAGAGAGTAAAAAAAAATAGAACACAGAAAATAAATCCATTGTCTGGAAGTTTTCATTAATTTACCTGGAGGAGCTGCAATAAAGTTCAGTACAAATACAATAATTCTGAAACAGCATTTTCACTTTTTCGCATAGAATAGTCAATAGATTACTCAAATATCATGTTAATTTTAAAATGTATTAACTTTCAGAAATATCCATGTACATTTTGTGTGTTTGGGGTTTGTCCTCCAAAGCTGCAGGCTTTGTTCTCGTTAATGTACTAAAATACAGCAGAGGTGTAGTGAAAGGAAAACAGAAGGGATTTTTTGGGTGCCGACATTATCTGCCATAAATGCCAGGGTCGTGGGAGCAAATGTGAAGATAACAAAAGCTTTCAAGTTTGTTTGTGACAGATAAACATAGAAGAAGACCAAAAGTAGGGGAAATAACTAAGCAGTGTCTGGATACTTCTGTCTTTTCCTTTGATGGGGCAAGACTTCGCATTAGTAGTTTAAACAGCAACAGTTCTTTGCGAGACTTTCTAATTGAAAGCTAAAGGTTGCATTTCAGCTGACTGAAGATCTTTTGTGAAAGCTCAGCATGTTTAACAAGCCGAACCTTTGTTGTCAGAAGAAAGCACCACTGAGATCATTTGAGCTTACTCCCAGGGAAGTCTGCATGGGATTACAGCCACGCTGATCCCAATAAAATGGATATTATGCGACCTATCTACTCATTCATCAGTTCGTTTAATTAAATTTATAGGCTGCTTAATATATTAAAAATACTCAATGCGGTTTACCAAGTAAAAACACACACACATAAAACCACTAAACTAAACTAAATAAATGTAATACATGCTGCCAATAACACAATCAGAATCAAAACAGATTTTTGTAGGTGTTGTGGGTGAACATATCAGATGACATAGCGATTCTACAAACAGCTCTTGTTTATTCACAGACCCAGAACAGAACTGAACCGAAGGGTTCAGCCAGCTTGCTTATACAGAGAGCTCCACTACAACACAACAGTAACAACTTTCTGTAACTATCCAACCACTGAACGTACTTTCAATTCCTTATTTGCATATGTGGACCTGAGTGAAAACTATCTACAGTATCCCCCTGCTGGCCCAGGGTGAGAACTTCAGTACATAACACCAGGTCTTCTCACACCATTGTATTGTTCATTTTCACCACAAGTCCTTGATATTTAGGTATACGGCCAATGAATAAGTTAAATGAAAATAAAAGAAATGATAAAGAATGCCCATGCTAAGTCCTTTCAAAGAAGGTTCTGTGGGCCCTTGAATTATGTTGTGAATGACAGACAACATCCCTTGGCATACTATCTGTGCTGCAATATATATATTTCCCTTTCTTCTAATCGGCTAATTCCCCAACGTATTGTTATGCTCTCAAAGAATTTTGGTGACATTTCCCATCACCCCCTGACACATATATTTTCCCACTCGCTCAACAATCAATGCCAGCAGAAGTAACATCCATTTACTTCCATTTAGAGCACCCAGTGCCCATTGGGAATCCATTAAATGTACAATTGTATGTTTTGTCTGTCACTGGTTAGCCTTGTTTCGGCTTTTCAGTGCCGAGATGCCATTTATTCTGCTTGACCTTCCCCTGTTGTCTATAGGTTTCAGCCCCTTCCATTCATATCACTTATAGCAGGTATGTTGGTTCCCTGTCAAAGTCCATTACTTCATGTGCAACATTTTAAAGGCTTTGCTGCTGCTTTGAAAGCAACAGCAACACATCTGCAGGCCAGTTCAAAGCCTCTTAAGGCATCTTTAAAACAAACAAACAATCAAACAAACATGATACGTTGAAGAAAATTATGTGGTTAAAAGAAGGAAAATGCACAGCAAAAAGTTTGGGCAATGTACGGTTTGGGCTTTATCTTCTGTTAACAAGCCTGACATCAGGAATCAATGTAGTGATTTAAACAACAAGGCCTGCAAAGGAGCTCTTAGCAAGTTTTCAGTAATTGGAACATCGTTTAGAAACGATGGTAGGTGGATTTCAGAACAGATACCTGGTCCAAGGATTTAGGTTGTTGAGTATCCTGCTTCCAGTCATAGCCACCAGATCTCTCTCCCCCTGCGACCTCAGTATACTGTATTCATGGAGGGGAAAGGTACCGCCAAAAGGGAGTTTCCATTCAACTGATATTCCCTCTAAAACACTAGGAGGAGATAAGGTTTTTTTATGCTTTATTTTCCGTACTTGCATCGATACATCAAATACATATCTTCCTTATTTTACATAAACACCCCCCCCCCAAAAAAAAACATACTACAACAAAAGAATATAGGTCTTCCTACTCGTTCACAAAGAAGGCTGATCGCCGAAGAATTGATGCTTTTGAATTATGGTCCTGGAGGAGACTCTTGAAAGTCCCATGGACTGCAAGAAGATCAAACCGATCCATTCTTAAGGAAATCAGCCCTGAGTGCTCACTGGAAGGACAGATCCTGAAGCTGAGGCTCCAATACTTTGGCCACCTCATGAGAAGAGAAGACTCCCTGGAAAAGACCCTGATGTTGGGAAAGATAGAGGGCACAAGGAGAAGGGGACAACAGAGGACAAGATGGTTGGGCAGTGCTCTCGAAGCTACCAACATGAGTTTGACTAAGCTGCGGGAGGCAGTGGAAGACAGGAGTGCATGGCGTGCTCATGGGGTCACAAAGAGTCAGACACAACTAAATGACTAAACAACAACTATACATTTGATACATATACTTGACTTCCCATCCTTTCCCAATTTGTTTTCCACTCTAATAAACCTATTGCTTCAACTTGACTATATATTGCTAAATCGTGTCCTCCCTAAAAGAGGGCACATGTTGTGGTCAGACCTGGAGACCGACCTCCTGTGTTGTGGGTGGGTAAGATTGGATAGCCACAACACCTGACTGGTAGGTCCCTCGATGTTGGGTTTAATCTGGCCAATGGGGCGCAGTCCAAATGGATCGAGGGACCTATATATACCCATGCATGTGACCCACAACTTCCTCTTTCAGTGCGTGCATTCAGAACACCCACCCACCTCTCCCTACTTTTAGGGCATTTTTTGCGATTGACCTTGCTATGCCGTCGTGTGTCGTCTGTCGTTGGGACAGGGGCACGGCAGGAATTTCCCCACTTGGCTGATTGGCTGTTGCCATTTGGGTTTCGCCTGCCACATAGCAAATTGTCACAACTTGTAAGGTTGCGGATAGGCACTGGTTCAGGTGATAGGATGGGAGAATGCTCTCGCCATCCCTATGTGAAGGGTATTCCAATGTCCTTGTCTCAGTTCCTGAATTACCATTACCGAAATGTAGATCTAGAAAATTTCCACTTCCTGCCTACCGTGAGAAACACAACGCGCCTATTTATGACCTTTAGGTCATCAGCTCTCCCAACTCGACTCATGGAGATAAAAGATACTCTATGGTGGTTCCATTCTCTCCGCCCAGTGAGGGTATTTAAGGACGAAACAAGGAGGCAATTGGTCCCTTGCTCAACAATAGAAACACTAATTGCCCGAAGGAAAGAGAGAACTCTGTAAGCCTAGAATTACAAGACCTGAAGAAGAGGCTAATGAGTATAAAGACTGATATTTCTACCCAAAATATAAGGACAGTAGAGCCTAGAGCACAATATTTAAAGATGTCCAACAGCTCTTTATCCCGTAGAAAGACATCAGTGCAACTCCCTGTTCCCTTTTCAAACGACACCGAATTAGATGAGGAATTTGGCACCTCCGACATTTCTATGGCAACAACACCTAAAGAACTCTATGTTGCTGACAATCTGGAGATATCCGGCACCAAATCTACATCTGGACCTTTGCCTAATGTTCCAAAAACTTATCAGAATGATCAACCTTCTTACTGTACTCCTGGCGAGACAGGATGGACAGATCTTCCGAAGCTGGCTCTTTGTTGGCCAGTGATCCACATTTTACAGCGCATGCCTCATTAATACTCCCACAGCCACAGATAGAACCAACAATCCTCCAATCAACCCAAGAGGGAGAGGGGGACTGACAGTTAACGAAACACCATGGGACTGTCCTCCCTGCTTGGGGTGCGGTTGGTTGGGTTTTATCTTCTAGGGATACTTACCCTATCAAACCTCCACGTCTTCCCCATACCATTTTGACCCAGGAGTCCTGGCCCAAGGATGACTTGTTATTGAGGGGATGTTACCCCTCTATTGGGGAGGCTATTATGGGGTCTGGGATTTCCACTATTGAAGGGCTAGGGAGGAATGGCGGTGGGGCTAGATATCTCTACTGGCGAAGGGTTTCGAGATGCAGTGATCCTCAAACCCCTTCCAATCTATGCCCCATCCCAAGGGATGAGGGTAGGGAGAGAAAGGATTACCCACCTCCTTCATTGGTGCTGTGCAATGCCAGGTCCATAGGCAACAAAACTGCCACCATGCGTGACTTTTTTGTCTCGCAGGGGATTGACCTGGCTTGCGTGATGGAGACCTGGGTATGGGAAGGCGAAGTAGGCTCCCTACATGAGATAACACCCCCAGGTTTCTCTGTCCTCCATCAATCGCGGACTGTGGGTCGGGGGGAGGAGTAGCATTGTTAATCCGGGAGGACTGCTCTTTCAGAGCTCTGCCATCACCGGCGATCTCCGGCATTGAATGTGTTGGTCTTGTGTGGGGCACCAAGGAGAGCTTGGCTATCTGGCTGGTGTACCGACCACCCAGCACACCGGCAGCCACCCTGTCAGACCTGCTGGAGGTGGTGGTGGGCTGGGCCTTGGAGTTCCCAAACCTACTGGTTTTGGGAGACTTCAACGTCCATGCCAATGCCACTCCCTCCTCACAGGCTCTGAACCTAGTGACTTCCATGGCAACACTAGGGCTCTCCCAGTTTGTTTTGGGTCCCACTCATCAAGCAGGCCACATGCTGGATCTGATCTTTGAGGCTGGCATAGATGTGATCATGCTCCCCCCTGTGGAAGTGCCATGGTCTGATCACTACACTCTGAAAGCTCGGATGGTGAACCTATTTGGGCTCGTCCGCGAAAACAGATGGATCCTGATAGATTCCGACAAGCCTTGCGGGATCCTGCTCCTCCTGGCGACTCATTAGATGACCTTGTTGAGGACTGAAATAACCGGCTCTTGGCAGCCATTGATGAGATCGCGCCTAAGCGCCCTCTGCGACCCTGTCGAAACCGGGCCCCTTGGTTTACTGAGGAGCTCCAGAAAATGAAGCGGGATCTCAGACGGCTAGAGCGAGTATGGCGACGGACTCATGACGGAGCCTCAAGAACATCTTATAGGACGCTTATGAAAGCCTATGAGATGGCTATGAAAGCTGCTAAGAAATCTTACTTTGCAGCTTCCATTGCATCCACTAGCTCTCGCCCGGCACAACTTTTTAGAATAATTAGGTCAATAACGTCCTTAGGAGGACAACCAAATTTAAGCACAAATTCGACCCACAGCTGTGAGGCATTTGCGAGCTTTTTTGCGGAGAAAGTCCTGTTGCTCCGCCGTGACCTCCCTGCCAATTTAGATACAGTGACTGAACTGGAGGCCCCTCGACTGACTTCAGGTCCAGTGTTGGACCATTTCGATCGGATACTCCCTGCTGATGTGGATAGATTCCTCCAAGTTGGTAGGCCCACCACCTGCCTCCTTGATCCGTGCACATCTTGGCTGATTAGGGAGTGTCCAGATGTTGCGCGGACCCCCCTGGTTGAAATTATCAATTTGTCCCTTGACACGGGGACATTACCAGGGAAACTGAAGGAAGCAGTAGTGTGTCCACTCTTAAAGAAAACTTCATTAGATCCCTTAGACCTATCCAATTACCGCCCAGTTTCAAATCTTCCATATCTGGGTAAGGTAATTGAGAGAGCAGTTGCTGAACAGCTTGGTAGGTTTCTGGAGGAAACATCGGCTTTAGATCCATTTCAGTCCGGTTTCCGTCCTGGTTTGGGGACCGAGACGGCTCTGGTTGCCCTAACAGATGATCTCCGTAGACAACTGGATTGAGGTGTGTCAGGACTGCTGATCCTTTTAGATTTGTCAGCAGCCTTTGACCTGGTCGATCATGATCTTCTGGACCACCGCCTCGCAGACGTGGGGATACAGGGCATAGCCTGTAACTGGCTGTGCTCTTTTATCTCTGGTCGGGGACAGAGGGTAGCACTAGGGAGGGAAATGTCATCGCGCCATTCCTTGGTGTGTGAAGTGCCGCAGGGCGCAATTCTCTCCCCGATGCTTTTTAACATCTTTATGCGCTCCCTTGCCCAGATTATCCGGAGCTTTGGGCTGGGCTGTCACCAATATGCTGATGACACTCAGCTCTATCTGCTGATGGATGGCCACACCGATTTGGCCCCGAACACACTGACCAGATGCTTGGGAGCTGTGGCTGGATGGTTTCGTGGGAGCCGATTGAAACTAAATCCTTCAAAGACAGAGGTCCTATGGCTGGGTTGGGATGGCATGGGGATGAGGGAACAACTCCCTTCTCTTGCGGGGGCCCAATTAGTGCCATTGCCTTCTGTTAAGAGTTTGGGTGTAATCCTTGACGCCTCCCTTTCCATGGAGGCGCAAGTTACAGCAACAGCCAAGGCGACATTTTTCCACCTTCGCCGCATCAAGCAGTTGGTCCCTTACCTTTCCCGCCCCAACCTGGCCACAGTGATCCATGCGACGGTCATCTCCAGGCTTGACTACTGTAATTCGCTCTACGCGGGGCTGTCCTTGAAGCTGACCCAGAAACTCCAGAGGGTGCAGAATGCTGCAGCGAGGCTCCTCATGGGTTCTCTGCCATGGGAGCATATTCACCCAGTGCTTTTCAATCTGCACTGGCTCCCGGTAGAGTACAGGGTCAGATTTAAGGTGCTGCTTTTGACCTTTAAAGCCCTTCATGGGGCTTTAAAGGACCCTCATACCTATGGGACCGCCTCTCCAGGTATGCCCCACGGAGAGCCTCAAGGTCCATAAATAGCAACACCCTAGTGGTCCTGGGCCCTAAGGAAGTTAGATTGGCTTCAACCAGAGCCAGGGCCTTTTCAACTCTGGCTCCGGCCTGGTGGAATGCTCTGCCTCATGAGACCAGGGCCCTGCAGGATCTGATTTCTTTCTGCAGGGCCTGTAAGACAGAGTTGTTCCGCCTGGCCTTTGGCTTGGAGCCAATTTGATTCCCTCCCTCTCTTTCTTTTTTCCTTTCCTTCTCCTCCTGCAATGAGGCTACATTTTAATATTTTAATGTTTCAATATTTTAATGTTGTATTTTAATTTTGTTTTTAAGTTGTAATCATTCAATTTGTTTTTATTATTGCTTGTAAGCTGCTCTGAGCCCGGCCTTGGCTGGGGAAGGCGGGGTATAAATAATAATAATAATAATAATAATAATAATAATAATAATAATAATTAAAGTAATCCAGGGACTCAGCTGGTTTGGTCAACCCCCGACAGGGGGTTGTGCCCGTGCCTGGGTCCAGGGGAGCATCTGGGGGTGTGTGAACATAGTCTGTTCCCAGTTTTCTGCTTATCCAGGTGTTCACCCTAGGCTGACCTATGCTGGTGCCCTGGGTCAGCACTGCCTGCAAGGGTGCAGGGAGCTAGTCGAACCAGAGCCCATGCAACCACTCACTTTCTGTAATCAATAAAGTTGTGGCCTAAATTCTGCCAAAAGCCAAAACTAAAATTTGAGTCAAATGTGTATTTAGGGGGGAGGTCTATATAGGGGGGAGGTTTATATATTCCTATTTTCCTCTTTTAATTTAAATTATTCACAGAGATTAGGTAAAGGGACCCCTGACCATTAGGTCCAGTTGTGGCCAACTCTGGGGTTGCAGCGCTCATCTCGCTTTATTGGCCGAGGGAGCTGGCGTACAGCTTCTGGGTCATGTGGCCAGCATGACTAAGCCGCTTCTGGCGAACCAGAGCAGTGCACGGAAACGCCGTTTACCTTCCCGCCAGAGTGGTACCTATTTATCTACTTGCACTTTGACGTGCTTTCAAACTGCTAGGTTGGCAGGAGCAGGGACTGAGCAATGGGAGCTCACCCCGCCGCAGGGATTCAAACTGCCAACCTTCTGATTGGCAAGCCTTAGGCTCTGTGATTTAACCCACAGTGCCACCCTTGACAGAGATTACACGAAGGCTATTACCGTATTCAGGTTGCTACAATTATTCTTTAGGTAATTCCTTAAAGGCTCCCAGTTTGAAATGAACTCCTGCTTTGACTTATCTTCAATCCTTTCCGAGAAACTGTCTAATTCAGTGTATTCTACCAGTTTTAATAACCATTCTGATCTCATGGGAACTTTGTCGCTCTTCCATTGCTGTGCTGTGAGTACCCTTGCGGCAGTGGTAGCGTACAAAAAAACTTATCTTATCTTCTTCACAATATCTGGGCCTGTAATACCCAGTAAAAACGATTCTGCTTCCCCCCCCCAAAAAAGTTACATTTAACATTGTTTTAAGCTCTCTCTATATATCATTCCAGAATCTTTTAATATTCTTGCATACCCACCACATATGAAAGAGAGTTCCATCTGATTCTCCACATCTCCAGCATATATTAGGAACACTTTAATACATTTTGGAGAGTTTACCGGGAGTTAAATACCATCCCGGACACTGAGGTCCAGCGCCAAGGGCCTTCTGGCGGTTCCCTTGCTGTGAGAAGCCAAGTTACAGGGAACCAGGCAGAGGGCCTTCTCGGTAGTGGCACCTGCCCTGTGGAACACCCTCCCACCAGATGTCAAAGAGAAAAATAACTACCAAACTTTTAGAAGACATCTAAAGGCAGCCCTGTTTAGGGAAGCTTTTAATGTTTAATAGGTTATTGTATTTTAGTGCTTTGTTGGAAGCTGCCTGGAGTGGCTGGGGAAACCCAGCCAGATGGGCGGGGTATAAATAATAAATTATTATTATTATTATTATTATTATTATTATTATTATTATATCGGTATAGCATCTTTTGGAGACTG